ACAATATAGATTCTACAATCATATACAGAGGCTCTGATACCAAATGATAGAAATATTTTACCCTGGATCATGTATATGATTATAAAATACTTAAACAATATGAAATCAAAGTTGGGATTGTGTGTACCTTATTGGATCGTCACAAAGTCGAAAGATTGAAAGGACTACATGCCAGATCTTCCTCTCTATCACCTATTTCGATAAAGGCAGCCTCAGCGATGGGAGCATGATGGCTTATGGAGCTTAACTCCAATATTTATAGGCTAGAGAGGGGACCTAGCTAATAACCTAGAAAAGAGTCTGTGTCCACTGGGTCCACCCATCATGGAAAACCAGGGTCACACTAAAGCCTACACTGCTGCCCAACTAGGCCCAATAACAACAGATGCCAGAAGCCCAATTCAATGTGATCACAATGAGCTAGTTACAATAATAATATTGAAATATCCATTAACTCGATTAATTTTAAATACAAAACTAATTAATTAATATTGCCCATAAAATAAATTTCTAACATTCTAGACTTTAGTTACATGTTTAAACGAGGTTAAGCTAGACTTTTTTTTGGTAATGTGAGGTTAAGCTAGACTTTAATATAAATAAGTGAGGTTTATATAAAATATTTTAGGGTTTTATAAGAGTTATGTTGTAGGAAAAATGATTGTGTAATGTTATAGAGATTTGTTTTGCGTGCCTTAGTTTTTTTTTTTCTTTCAAAAAGTGCGAGTCCCACAAAATGTTGTGTGTGTAGAAAAAAAATTTGTATCATGTTAAATGATGAATGTAAACCTCAATATTTTAAATCTAACCTAGTTTATTAGCCTGGTGTTAATTAAATTATAGATTTGACCTGTTCTATATTAAAAAAATCGAAAGATTTGGCCTAGACCTCTTTGTTTATTTAAATATATCAAGTCTTTAATATCTATAAAAAAATTTAAAAATAAAAGAAATAATATTATTTTATGAGGAAGGTTATGGTTTTTTCACCCTTTTACTCCTCATTAATTATTTAATAACCATTTTGCCCCTTGTTGCAAACTATCTACCAATCTGCCCCTCTTTAATCGATTAAATTGAAGATTTAATCGATTAAATATTTAACTTAATTGATTAAATCTTCCTCTATCAGAAGAACAACCTTATGCATGGAAGATTTAATCGATTAAATAGGGAGATTTAATCGACTAAATTTTCAAGTTAACGATTTTTGCCTATTTTGACCATTTAATTGATTAAATTTTTGGCTTAATCGATTAAAGAGGGGCAGATTGGTAGATAGTTTGTAATAAGGGGCAAAATAGTTATTAAATAATTAATGAGGGGCAAAAGGGTGAAAAAGCAATAACCTTCCTCATAAAATAATATTATTTCTTTTATTTTATTTTTAAATTTTTTTTATAGATATTAAAGACTTGATATATTTAAATAAACAAAGAGGTCTAGGCCAAATCTTTCGATTTTTTTAATAGAGAACAGGTCAAATCCATAATTTAGCCTAAACCTTTTTGTAGGAATACCGAAGCAAGCATTACAAATGAGGTATTAAGAATCCTGTCGTCAACAAGTAAGCCTAAACCTTTTTTGTATTCTTTTTTAGGAGGTTACAAGGAATTGAACACAACACCGTACACTACACACACTCCTAACACACACACCCCACACCACTAGGCTAACCCTAGTGGTGCACCTTTTTGGTATTCTAATTTCATATAATTTCATCTTGAAATTTCTTATACTTGTGGCATAAGTTTTTTAACATCATCATGCAGTAGGCTTGTATTTATTTTGTTTTATATGTCGCTTCTGTAATGCACTAATGCTTAACATAAAATTAAAAAATAGCATCTTTAGTGATTACTATATATATATATATATATATATAATAAATAAATAAATAAATAAAAATAATAATAAAATAAAAATAAGTTAAAATGCTTTTGTTATTGTCATCAATCATTGAAATAAGTTTTATCAAATCTCACAGGATCAACATTATATTAAAAAGTTCTTTCCAAAAATTTCTTTATTTTATTCAAATCTTTATTTTTCAAAACTGCTTAATCAATATTATTTATTCTCTTAACTGTTTATACCAACACAAAATCAGAATTATTTTAAACTTGTTTGTAAAAAAAAATTATTTTATTCAATCACCTTCAAATTTTTAAATCACTTAATAAATATATTTAATTACTATAAATTTTCTACTCCATTGATTCAATCACTTAATAAAATAATTCGCTAGGTTAATTTACACGGTTACCAAATCTAGTTGTGTACAAAATCAACAAATGCCAAATGTATTTTTAGGATACTTGAATTGGGTTATTTTGATTTATTTTTTTAAATTGAATTAGTCTATTCACCCCTCTAGAATTGTATTATCCTCTCTTTGTTGGAAGTCACTTGCCAAACATAATCTATTTTATTTTATTAAATAAACTAGTGCAGTACCCATGCAATGCACGGAGAAAAAAGATCAAAAATTTTGTCGGCATCTGTCGTTGGTTAATCGCTAAAAGAAAGAACCGTGTCAGTATTTTGTGCTACCTTGGGAGGTGAAAAAGCTACAACACTCACCTAGAACTTTGTATGTATCTACCAAAAACAAAACTCTGCAATTAAGAATCATCAATTATTAGGCTTTTTCACCCTTTTACCCCTTATTAATTAATTAATAACCATTTTGTCCCTGATTCGAAACTATTTATCAATCTGCCCCTCTTTAGTCGACTACTTTGCATTTTTAATCGACTAAATGGCCAAAACAGACAAAAAATGGCTGCTGGGAGATTTAGTCGACTAGATCTCCCTATTTAGTCGACTAAATCTTCATATTTTACAAAAAAAAAAAATAAGTCAGTATGATTTTAATCGATTAAGTAGAGAGATTTAGTCGATTAGATCTCCCAACAACCGTTTAGTCGATTAAAAAAGCAAGGTAGTTGATTAAAGAGGGGCAGATTGGTAGATAGTTTCGAATCAGGGGCAAAATGGTTATTAATTAATTAATAAGGGGCAAAAGGGTGAAAAAGCCTCAATTATTATGCAAATAAAATAGATCATAAAGAAGAAGAAGAAGAAAATCATAAAATTAACTTCTCAATTAAAGATACTAATATACGTATAGTTCATATAGAGTTTGCTCACATGATCCATGATTCCATTCAGGTGTATAAAATTTATAATTAGTTGAATAATTTTTTTTCTTTCGAAATGACATTAATATGGTCGTTTTGTCATCCAACTTGACTTAAATAATATAGAAAAATGTAGTATTAAGTAGTAAAAAATATCAACTTAAATAAATTATTATTAAAAATAAATTTTATACTAAGTCATTGTTAATGATTTTATAAAAAATTATTGAAAAATAAAATCCCTATTAATTTTCTGTTGAAGTCTATTAATTTTTTATAATTATTATTACTTTTATATTATTTAAGAAGGTATAAAATTATATCAACTTTGGTAATATTAAAATGAAATTATACCAAATAGTTAAGAAATCTCAATCAATTAAAAATTTAAAATACTTGTCTGTGTGCATGAATGAGAAACTACATATGGATTGGAATGGATTCTGGTTTGAGCGGGCTTTTTGACCCTTATAACCTTTTATTATTAATTATTTACTGATTTGACCTTGATTATAAACTATTTCAAAAATTTAACCCCCTCAAAAAACATAACACCAATCTACCCCTGTTTGACCGTTGACCACCAAGCCTACCCGGGTAGGCCCTTCTCTACACGGGTATTTTTTGAAAATTTTTGTCTACCCGGGTAGGAGGAGTGTACCCGGGTATTGTTCTTCGCACCTGAAAAATTGCTTGAATTATTTACCCGGGTAGAGAGGGGTGTACCCGGGTAAATCTTCGACCACCCATTTAGTACTTGCTATAACTGGGGCAACTTGTAGCTGATGGATATAAGAACAGATATGATTTATTTGATTTTGAGGAAAAAGGAGCAACGTGGACACCACCCCTTCTTCGTCCTCACAATCACCGTCGAATCGATTTTGAAACTAAGATGAGATCTAACATTTGGTTACCTAGCAAGAAAGAGAAGAGCTTGGCAATGTAAATCCACAACACACCAAACCTGTCAACAAGAAATTGTCAGCTTGCAAGTAAAGATGTCGTTATTAAATCATTTCCTTTATCTCTCTCCCCTGAGTCCCTTCAATGGTTTCTGGGTTCAGTTTTCTGAATTTTTTCAAAATCTCCGGAACGGTGGGATTTTACGATCTAAGAAGTCGATCTCATCCGATCTCACTCTCAACCGATCTTACCATTCATCTGTTCTTATATCCATCAGCTACAAGTTGCTCCAGTTATAGCAAGTACCAAATGGGTGGTCGAAGATTTACCCGGGTACACCCCTCTCTACCCGGGTAAATAATTCAAGTAATTTCTCAGGTGCGAAGAACAATACCCGGGTACACTCTTCCCTACCAGGGTAGACAAAAATTTTCAAAAAATACCCGAGTAGAGAGGGGTGTACCCGGGTAAGCTTGGTGGTCAACGGTCAAACAGGGGCAGATTGGTGTTATGTTTTTTGAGGAGGTTAAATTTTTGAAATAATTTATAATCAAGGTCAAATCGGTAATTAATTAATAATAAAAAGTTATAAGGGTCAAAAAGCCAGTTTGAGCGTGGTAATAAGTTAACATGATGCTCCGTTTTCCCTAAATTTTGAATTTGCATATTTGCATCACCGGATTATGAATTTATTAGTTAAATGACAGAATATATAGTTTCCATTACTTAGCTACATTTTCCATTTTTTTCTCATCATCAGATGACTGTACACTGACACACAAACAAGCACAAAAGAGAACTTTTTTCTTTGCATTTATTGTTTTTGATTATTCATTCATAATTCCCTTTTCATTGTCGTTATATTTTTAGGTACAGATATAGTGTCTCCTCTGTCTTTAAGTCTATATCTAGTGGCTGATTGCTTCACTGATTGAATATTTTGAAGGTAGAATGTCAGTAGAGAGTACAATGGAGGTGGATGATCCCAGTGACCCATTTCCCATTGGAATGCGGGTTCTTGCGGTGGACGATGATCCCACGTTCCTCTTTGTTCTGGAAACTCTGCTCCGGAAATGTCAATATCACGGTCTGCTTTTGATTTATCATTTTTTTTTCATTTCCGAAACTGTAAATTTGGGATTTTGTGCTTTGTTTTTTTAGATTTCAAGATTTAGTAATATGAATACTTCTAAACAAATAATTAAGATAATTATATCATGTAACATGAGATAAATACATACTTCTATTAACAAAGTTGTTTTTGTAGGGAATATCAGTTCAAATTTTTAGTCTACTCCAACGCCTTTGTTTGTGATCCGGTTTTTGTTTTCTCTCCCTAATTTTTTTATAGGATTTTATGTTTGTTATGTTACATAATGTAACGTAACTTTCTTATACACACAATTAAGAAGAAACAGAGGAGAGAGAAAAAAGGAGAAAGAAAAATAAGAGATAGAATTCACATAAAATTATGTGTAAAAAAGTTATAAGTTATGTTACATTATAAGAAACATGAAACCATATTTTATATTGTTTCTGAAATGTTGGTTCAATTGTTGTAGTGGTAATTTTAGTGACTGAATAGAGTCTGCACTTTGAAGTTCACCATTTTTTTGTTTCTTGTTTCTTCCCCAGCTTTGATTATTTACTGTCTGTTCTTGCTTGGATTTCAATGCAGGATCTAACTAGTTTTCTTCAGGATTATTAGTATTTTTCTTTGATTATCATTCGGTAATTATTTTGTGTTCGCGGATGCATGCAGTGCTAATGTACTCTTTCAGAATGATATTTATTTTAGTTTTGGCTTGGGTGCAGTGACCACAACTACTCAAGCAAAAGTTGCATTGAAGTTGTTGAGAGAAAACAAAAACAAGTTTGACTTGGTAATCAGTGATGTGCACATGCCAGACATGGATGGATTTAAGCTGCTTGAGCTTGTTGGACTTGAGATGGACCTACCTGTCATAAGTAAGTGGGGATCTTATGTGTAATCTTCAGCAGTTCCTCTTTTTGACTCCCATTATTTATGATATAATTATTATTCAAGTTAAGTACTTAAGATATTTAGATTTTAAATAATGAGGTTTTGGTTTTCTAATATTCTTGTATAAATATTCAACCATATTATGTTTACTTCATAATGGTCCTAGTCCTAGTCCTAGTCCTAGTCCTACTAACGGATTTGTTTAAGTTTCATATTTAATTTTGATAAATATGAAACTGTGATGTGCAAATAAACTTGTTTAGGAAGGGTTTTTTTAAATTGTAATGTAGTGCTACTTTAAGGATTGTTTGCCTTTGGTAAACCTTTGAAGTTACAAAATTTTGATTTCAGTGGTATCTATAAATGGTGATACGAAGCTGGTGATGAAAGGAATTTATCATGGAGCTTGCGATTATCTGTTGAAACCTGTGAGAATGGAGGAATTACAGAATATTTGGCAGCATGTATTTAGGAGGAAGATGTTTGATTCAAAGAAGAATAAAATCAACAACTCAGACAATACAATCAAGAGAACGCTTCCTATCAAAATGGAATGCTTCCTAATAAAAGAAAGAATCATGACGAAGATGAAGTTGATAATGAAGAGAATCCTCACGATGATCAGGACCCATCTACCCAAAAGAAGCCTCGGGTTGTGTGGTCAGTAGAGCTACACCGAAAGTTTATGGCAGCTGTTAATCAGCTAGGAATTGACAGTACGTTTTGTACTTTGTCTGAAATTATTTTTATCATTTTCTTCAATGGCTTGGTCAAATTATTTTTCTCAATTTATATTGTCAAGATATTTCTTAATAGATTTAGCATTTTCAATCTAATGTTAAGAATAATTTATAATATAGTAGTTATGTTAATTATTATGGAAAAAAAAATTTCAATTATTCTTAAGATTTTCATTACTAAATATGAGTACGGGCCTCGTGATATTATTGTTTTTCTGGCAGAGGCTGTACCTAAGAAAATTCTCGATTTGATGAATAACGAAAGTCTTACAAGGGAAAATGTGGCAAGCCATCTCCAGGTATTTTTCCATTCTCCACGTTATAATTTTAATATTACATAAACCTTCTCATTCATTGAATGTTTCATGTTTTATAAATTGGCGGCAGAAGTATAGGCTTTATCTTAAACATCTTAGCCAGGCAAATCAACATGCTAATACGGTGGCAGCCTTAGGATTTAGGAAGTGCTAATTCATCCTATTCAGGAATGAATTTTGTGAGTGGTAATGGACATTTGCAAACATCGAGTGGTTCTGAACAGTTTCATAACAATGCTTTCAGATCCTTTCCACCTGGTGGGATAACTAGTAGATTGAACAATCATGCTAGTCCTGGTGTGCATGGATTTCCTTCTCCTGGAGGAGTACTTCAGTCAGGTCAGTCACAAAATTTAAACAATTGCAGCAATGATCTACTCAAGTTTGAGACATCCATATTTCCTTTTAATTAAAATGGTGTTTAGGGAATGCCAGTATCTATAGGCTTGATCAATTGCATAACAATAAGGGTGCTATTTCTGTTCATAACCTGACCACTATTATTGAATATTTTAGACAGACAGCTATACCTCCTACAGGTAAAATGACTTTTGTAGCCTTGCAAGGGGCAATCCAAGTGGTTCATTCATCACTTCACTGTCTAGTCAATCTTTAAATTCAATGACAGATATGTACTCCCAAAGAGTGATTTATTTTTACTGATGGATCTGGTCATGTTAGTGGTAATGTGCCATTTCCAAGGGTGGGATAGCCATAATTAGGATGCTACTTACCATTCAGATGTTATTTGTGGATCAATAAACTCCCTTGACTCCTGACAATGGTGCTGTTGTTCCAGCAGGTCTTACTCCATCAAACTCAACCTTAAACCGAAACATGGACTTTAATTTTTGTTACAAATGAAGCATGATGATTTTGCGGAAGACTTGGTCAGTTCAAAGGTAATAACTTGTATGCAATATGATTAAGGTTTTCCCAATGGCTTCTTTTTAACATATTGACTACATAATTGCTTCTCACATGATTAACGGCAGTAAACCATTTGAAATTTTGTTTCAGGTACTTGGTGATCTTTCTGCTTTGTAGATATCATTCAGATGAAATTACATTATTTTATGTCATCAATTACGGCATTTGTAGATCTTTTGAATAAAGTTGATACCATCTCCACCATAATCTTAACGGCATGGCCTCGCTTCTTGTATGTCTCCTTAAGATTAGATGGATGAATCACGGGTTTAGCGTAACTCAAAATTTTGATTGAGTTTTTGGTGAATCTTTCAAGAATATATTCAATTTTCATATATTTTCATCAACACCTCAAACAATTGCACAAATGTGGTTATACTGATGGATGAATCACGGGTTTAGTGTAACTCAAAATTTTGATTGAGTTATTGGTGAATCTTTCAAGAATATATTCAATTTTCATATATTTTCATCAACACCTCAAACAATTGCACAAATGTGGTTATACTGATGGATGAATCACGGGTTTGGCGTAACTCAAAATTTTGATTGAGTTATTGGTGAATCTTTCAAGAATATATTCAATTTACATATATTTTCATCAACACCTCAAACAATTGCACAAATGTGGTTATACTGATGGAATAAGATGAACTAACTTCAACTAACTAACTCAAACTTTTCACTTGATTATAATTTGATTAGCTTGATTCGTATTCAATGTGAGTGTAAAATATTGTAAACTTTCAACCGTTATTGTGCTTGCATCTATGATATTGTTTTTCAATCCTCAAGTAGTCTGTATGGTTGTCAAACTAGATAACTTACATGACAACACATGAATGGACGAAATTGTTCAAAGAGTTTACACAAAGAGTGCACTAAAATCAAACTGGTGTTTCATTTCCAAGTGAGAATAAAAACTCCTAACTCTTTCCCAGTTATTGTTTAAATAAAAATAAACACTTGGTAAAAATTAGAGCTTGTAATGCACGAAGGAATTAACATAAATTTATAAAGAGAGTTCTTATTTCTTATCTTATACTTGCTAGAGGTGGGGCTAGAACAGGATAAACATGTTGAACCCTCATTCGACCATACATAACTTTTCATACATACATATATATATATATGGAGAATTTTTCACTTCTTATGCTTATGCTTACCCAAGGTATAACACCTCACATATTTAAAATGCATATTAATAGTTAAATTATGGGATAGAGGATATGTTTAGTCAAAATCCTGATTCTGAAAAAAAATACGCACGAAGGGTAAAACGGTAAATCAACAAATACGTAACCTTGAATTGTAAAATGATAAAATTAGACTTCAATTGATGAAAATAATAATGAAAATGGATTCAGAAAAAAAAAATGAGTAGTTAGGCAAATTTTTGAATAATTGATGAATAATATTTTGACCGGATAAAAATACTACGGTACAATTGCACCGAAAAATATGAAAAGTGAGATTAGTGCTCTAGGATTGAATGTATGTTGTAAAATGTACTTAGAACCAAGAAATAGGATTAGTGGTGAATTTTTGAAAAAACGTGCCAACGGTGCAGTAATCATAACCATATTTATTTCAGGTACTAAAATCGATATGTTTATCCAACGATTATATTTATTTTCATCTTTGTATAATTATGATTCCCAAATTTAATACTTTATATTTATTTCTACCTTTGTATAGTTATGATTCTCCATATTTAATGCTTTCACCTTAAATATGGAGAATTATAACTATACAAAGATGAAAATAAATATAATTGTTGAATCAACATATTGATCTAACGTTGAAATTAATTGGTAGTAACATTGGTAATAATCCTAATTGGTTGTTACAATATCCTACCCTTTTTTATATGCTTAGTATACCAATATTTTATTTTTCTTAGATACAAACAAATATAAAATCACAATTATATTCAGCTCTGAATAACGCAAGACATGGTTGTTTATAACTTGAATTTTGAAGATATGTATTTCAAGACAACAATTTAATTCCTTATAATGTCATCAACAACAATAAAGCATAATCGTGATTAACATGACAGAAGAAGATCAATTACTTTCATAAAATTAATTCAAACAGTTTTATTAGAGTAATTATTCATTGAATATGATTTTGATTCAATGATTCGGGTAGAGATAATCCGCATATTCACAAAGATGTCTATTTCACTGAATCTCTCTTTAAGAAGGTGCCCAAATCATTATGCCTTTTGTGCGGACCAGAACTTACCCGAAAATTTCGCTACCTTAGGAATACATTACATTTTGTCGCTATCATCCACTAATGTGCTGCCCATCTCATATGGACAATTCGACATATCAAGTAAATCATGTCATTGTAACCCTAAATAACCATTTGATATGCAAGATTAATCAAAATAGATTATCATATCAATACATTAATAACTACCCTAGCCATTATAGCCAGAACAAATAAAAAAAAAATGACTCAGTCGTTTCATAAAACAGCTTGTTCTCATCCCACAACATGCTAGTTCAAGAAATTCCTTGCCCCAAACCAAAAACAATTAAACATTACCGTCAACACAGGTTCATCAGAATTATTATAACACCAACCACTCTTCATTAAACCCCAACAAACAAAGGTAAGGGTAACCCTTATACACAGAAATAAAGAATTATTATAATACAATAGTAAAAAAATATAGGAACTGATATGACAGGGAAACATTAAAACCCGATACAAATGGTCCACTGAGAAAATTAGTCTGTTACCCCATTTTACTTGTTCCTGCGTGGTGGGACAACTGCTGGCGGTTTGAGAGCAAGTCCAGACACAGCTGCTTTCCTTCTTACATTGTACCAAAGCATTAGCTGCCTAAGCTACAATCTTCTTCTACTATCTATACACTAATAATGATTAACATTAAAAAATTAATGTATTACATCAAATTAATAATCTGAATTAGTTTCTAGTGGTTTTATACAAGTAATCTGTCTCTAAATCCCGCCCCCCCCCCCCCCCCCCCCCCCCCCCCCCCCCCCCCCCCCCTCTTCTTTCACTTTATGTATCATACATATAAGACAAATTCTGCATTTGAGATAAAAGCGTGACAACCTCTTAACAACGTCAACGTCATCATCTAACATACTGTTAAATATTCTTATACAGGTGTAGGAGAAAGTAGAAAGTCTGGTTGTTGTCTCTGTAGCAGTATCCCACAAAAGGGACAGAACGGTGTTGAGGATACTGCTTGAGAGGAAGATTTAGATGAAGAATCTGAATCTAGATGAAATGAAGACATTCTAAAAAGTGGTTCTGGCGCCAATCTAAACCCCAACCTATGGCAACATACACAACACCATAGGGGAGTACCTGGGCAAACCTGCATACTAACAGCACATCTCAATAACCTGTGACGCTTACCATTGCCACCAGTGCAATTTTCACCTTGACAAAAACCAAACTCAGGGGATTCAAATGGAACAGATGCTGAACAATAAATGCATGGCTCCACTGCTAAACATCTACTGGTCGGAAACCTGCAACTCGAGAAATACACAATATTATAATTAGCATTTCTTAAGTTTTGAACCAAATCTACAACATTGTATGACTTTATTTTACAAGCTTAGTAACAAGTTTACGATTACTCAGCAAATTTATGTGAGCAGTTCTTTTCTAGTTGTGAGGAACATTATTATCAAGAGAAGAAGAAACGAGAGACATTTAGTGAAATCCATGTCTCAACTGCGCATTGGCGTCTAGATTATGTCGTGAAAAAATAATAATACAAACAAATAAAGATATCACGACTATCGTAATTAACGTAATTACACGATTTTGACTACCCTACTTACATTGTTAGAAATGCCATATAAAAACCATTTATATATCTTCATCTAACAACTTAAACTTTTGAATAGTTGATTCATGACATGGTATTAGAGCCTCCTTGACTAAGTGGTCTAGAGTTAGATCCTTGCCACCCCAATTCTTAAAATAAAAAAGTTGAGATTTAGCATGATGAAGATGGGCTTATGCATTGCCAATGCTTCAAGCTCAAAGAGTTGTTCCATGAGGGGGCGAATCAGAAATGTAATATAAAAATCATTCATGAGTCTTCACGTAACACCTTAAGCTTTTGGGATAGATGGTTAATGACATACATAATCAACAAGATATTGTTAAACTCATAGGTCATATGCTCCAAGCTAGTTACATATGTAACTTATTGGAGAACCTCTCAAAAACCCGAGAGATGTCGGAGAAAAGATATTTACTATCAAGTATGTGCTCAATGGCCCTGGAATCTAAGAACTAAGGCCCCATCCATAGGTGATGATTGGGAGAAAAAGGCGACGAAATCATCAGTGCGCAACAAGTACAGTGGAATTGGAGGTCTAGTACTCGAACCATTTCAAAAAGTCAGCATATGCCAGAAGTAGGGGTTTTTGACGAAGAGGCATGGGCAAGAGGGTGGTCATGAAGGACCCAACACTTGTCATTTGTATCACACCACTTGTGGCAATGGTTGCATTGATGACAATGATTGCTAGACTTACGGCCACAACTAGAAATCTTGGACACAAGTGCAATGGAATAAATAGGAAAAGGAAACATGTCAGGCTCATTGGGTTGCTTTGGGATTCAGAGCAAGGAGGACCAAGTTGTTTTTAGAGTAGCGACAATGGGTGGGCATTAAATTTGATCAAGGTTGGCAAAATGCTCTAGAGGCAAGTCATAGAGGGCTAACAACACGAAAATGTGCATGTTGCTCAAGTTCCTACATTGGCATCTCCGCAAGGGACAATAGCTTATTGAAATTATTAAGAGTCCAATACATCTACGCCAAATATGCAAACATAGGACCATCAAATTTCTAGGGCACTATGATACTCAAAAGGTTATGGCAAATTCCATAAAGGTGCTAAGTATCATTAGTATTAAGGACCTTGGCTCCTACCCGGACAAACTTGCAAATGACATGAGCTTGTAAGATCTATTTCAACAATGGATGAATAAAGGATTTAACGATGATGCATAATTAGGCATTAATCATAGTCCAGCTAGGGCACTCAACAACAAACATAGATTCAGTCTTGGTAGTGAGGTGATCAATGTAGTCTGGCCCATATTTAATATCCAAAGCCCAGGTTTTGTAGTTGCTCCTATCCAACTTATCAAAGGAGAGAGGGGCATTGACGTAGTTGGTAAAAACATGGGCCTCAACCTTGTATGCATCCTTAGAAAATTCAAAGGAGGTAAATGCAGTCATGGGTCATCTTGGTAGTATAGAACAAAACAAAATATGTAGCGGAATGTGCTCGAAAATTGCCAACAAAGGTGGTTGAAGGTGAAGACAGCAATTCTAAGTACAAAATATCGCGATGAGCATTAAAAGATAAAGCACCACTTGATACAGTGGCTCGCGCTACCATAGACGACAAAGTTGCAATGGAACAAGTGATGCACCGCGGAGAAACGGCTGCGTGCAGCAGAGCGCTACCATAAGTGACAAAAGTTGTAATGGAATAGGTGATGCACAAAGGAGAAATGGCACGTGCAGTGGAAGTTGGATTTGGAACCTTTAGGATGGATCGGTCTGAAGGAGATAATTCAAGTCCCGGGGTCTCTGACCAAAAGAGTCATCGGCCAACAACAGACTATGGCTGGAAAGGGGTTTCAAGTAACTTGAATGAAGATACGACAATGGCGACCCAAAAAAGAAGTTGAAACACAGTTTCCAAAAAAAGGTTTTTCACCAATAGAAACTAGATATATCATGTAGGCATAGACTAAGATTGTCTCCAGTCAGGCTTTAGATAACATGTCAAGGTAAGAAGAAACAGCAGAGATTTAGTAAATCTATGTGTCTCAATTACACAAGGGCTCTAGATTATGTAGCCAAAATACAAAATTGTAGGAAATTAGTAATTAATTTACTTAGTCTTTCTTGTTCAAGCTTGTAGCATATGATCTATATGTTCCAGCTTGAGGGAGAGTGTAGGAGATTAGTAATTGATTTACTTTTTTCTTCTTAATTTGAAATTTTGAATTTGCTGAGTCATGATAGGATAGGATTGCTAAGTCATAAGATAATACTGACGACTCATTGCTGAGTCATTCTTATCTATTTTTTTCCTCATTTACACTTATATAAATACCTCCTATCAGTGTAAATCAAGAGAATCAATGTAATAAACCCTTTATTTCACATTTTTTAATAAAAATAAATATAGGTATCACTTATATCCTAATTATCATAATTAGGAGATTCTGACTATCCTATTTACATTATCAGCAGGATATTATTTACATAGTTACATGCAATTAGTAACATTTACAATTTCTTTACAATTTTTTTTTTATTTTCCCTAAAATTTATTATGGAAAAACCTCTTCCTCAAATATTTTCTTGTTTCATTAATTATAATTAAATATTTATTTTGCTCGTTATGAGAAGAAAAGGCAAAACAGAATTTTCTTTATTCAGGAACAAAATGTCACCAAAACAAAAAGAAACTGCTGCATCCCATCATGAATGGGAATCAGCTGCAATTTACTGATTGATGAGTTGTATGATTTTAGAAACGACACCATTTTGTTTTGTGATACCAATTTCCTAGTATTCCAATGAATTATTCTTCCATTTCGATTATTACTTTCTATCAAGATCTATGAAAAACTGAAAAAAAAAATGCAATTATGTTTAGTTTCTAATACAATCAGATAGTGTTTCTCCACCTTTTTTGGGAAAATATCAATATATGTTACTCAGATTGACATCTGGTTATCCTCAATAGGTGGAGAAAAAAGTTAATGTGCATGAACAAAGCTATGACAACAACTATGCAGTAAGACAATAGGAAAAAAGGAAAATTTTAAAATATACACTTACTGGCAAGCAGTACCTTTTCTGATGAGTAACTTCTGATGCAATGAATTTCAACTGGTCACGTATATGTTCCTGTTCTAAAGCAATCCATTGTTCCATCTGTGCTAGCCCAACAGGATACCAACGGCCAGGTTGTGAAGGAGTTGCTTCAGAATGGGACATGCTAGTTCGGAGAGCGGAAAAACTAAAACCCACAAGCCTTCCACGGAGCTCTCTTTCACTGCTCAGAAGAATTTCTATCCACTTAGTAACTTCCTTTTCCATGGTAGAACAAACCCCTTCAACGTTTTGAGTTTTGCTGTATATTCTAGTTATTTGATCACCATCCAGCTCTGCTAATATTACACGTCTACATATTATATTGAGCAAGTGTAGCAGTCGAGAAGGAATGTTTGACAAACTTGAAGAGACAAGTGATAAAACTTGTTCAGGAGGAAGGTCGATATGAGATCCCAGAAATGACAAAGAGAGCCACTTAATCAGTAAATGTTCTACATATTTCAACTTGTAATCCTTGAAAGCCAATAATGCTTTAATTATATCCCAAAGAACCAGAGGCTTATCAAGACATTGATATTGGTTTAAAGACCAGATGATATTGGTCCCCCAATAATTTAATTCTTTCTGTGGAAGACTGGAATCGTCTTCAATGTTACATGAAAAGGGAGATTTCAACGGAACATCCACTTGTAGCCCACCAATCCAAAAGTAATCAATAGCTGCCTTCAGAATCCTGTCCTAAGTTCAAGAAAAAAGTCAAATTCCACATTTGTAGATTTTTCTTTCATGAAGCCTCTATTTAGGAAAAGTCAGGAGAGTAAACATTAAGCTTCTTATGTTGTTTCAACTTTCAAGGTCCAATGGCAGCCTAATCATAAGAAAATAGAAGATTCTCTTGCCACTTTGGGCTGGAGTGATGTGAGTTGTAATTTTTGTATGCGTTATAATTCCAATTGGTGCCAAATTCTAATTATCCAGGTAAATATCTATCCATCCCTGAACTCCCCCCCTCCAAAAAAAAGAAAAGAAAAGAAAAGGATGGCAAAAACACTGTAGCAGGAAAATCATGTTTATACCTTGCTTCATACATTCGATTCAGTTTCTCACCATCAAAGCAATGAACCTGCAATAAACATGCAAAAATAATCAGAAATAACATAAAAATATGGTCAAAGCAAAAGCAAGGGCAAAAATTTCAGCCGATATATTTGTTTCTCCTGCACCACTTCTTGTCATTTAGTTAATTATCAAATTAACCTATCCAACAAAAAGCCTCTTTGAAAAAAAGATTTGAAAAAAAAAACATGTTTAGCAGGTTGGAACTTAAGATTAACATAAATTGTTGGACCTCTATTGATTAGGGTTAAGGAATATGATGGAACCCAAAATTATAACACTGAATTTATTTAAACAATGGAGGCATAGCCTCTTCTTACAAATACTAATACAAGAACAAAATACCAAAAGACCCCAACTCACCCTTAGAACCAACTACCCTAGGCTCCAAGAAATCCCCAATATTCACTCAATTCATGCCTACCTCACTTCCCACATTATCCTCCCTTTTATCCTATCCCATAAGAATATTCTAGAAGAAATTCCCTAATTGACTAACTAACCCTCACTTTCAGGCTCATCAGAATCCATGCTGAACTACAAGGTCACCTCTTACTTCTATGTTTTAGCTAACTAGAATAAGAGATTAAATAGTAAATCAAGAATACAACATCATAATTCAGAAGATCATTCAAAGAAAATGATGAGATATAGGATGTTGCTGTAGGGAATCAATATATACTTCTATTTAAAAAGACAACATAAACTTGACATGGATTGAGGACAGATAATTATAACGATTAAGGATCCCTGACAAAAGTGAGTGATTTCATGTTTCTAGAAAGCCAGGAGCCCAAGACCATTTGCTTAGCTTATGAAGTGACCAAAGACTATTTGGATTTAGTAAAACACTTCAAGTCAGGATTGCAACAGAATTTTCCCCCTAGTGCATTTGCTCCCCTCATCACAGATGGTTCAACCACACTGTCGCAAAATGACTGCTATTAGGAGTATATAGAATACTGCTCCTTAACTTAGTTTAATTGTGTTTGGTGTACTGTTGCTAACCTACACCTGATGTATGTAATTATCTCTCTAATATTCTGTTAGGCTTTCCGTTACTGTTAGTAACCATCTGTTAATTAGTCACTGAGTCAGCACTACTATATAAATATATAGCTCTCTGTAATCTCTCAATTAATCAATTCATAATCTCAACATCTAGAATATTCTCAGTGGCCTTTCCTCTCTTCTCTCCCTTCCTTTCTCTGAACGCTATTAACTGCAAACTATCACAAGTTCAAAATGAATATGGTTCTTTGTATTCAATAAGTACTAGAGAGACAAACATTATAAAATATAGCATCCATAGGATGGTTAGTAATTTTATGCTCGATTTTTTTTCTTTTTCTATTCAGGACTATACTGATAATTGCTAGAGATTTGGGGCATTGCTATTGACTATTATCCGGGCATTTAAGAACTGTCACTTTGATGCACTAAAAAATTCGAATATATCAGGATTGATATACAAATGCAAAGATTAAAATGAAAATAAAAAATATCGTACAGTAGCAATGACAAGATTTCCGGGAGACACAGCTACTCCAAAACATGAATCAAATGTATCTCTTGAAGGCTGCAAGGAAAAAAGATAGACATTTTATTTAGTAGAAAAAAACAAAGATCCCACCAAAAAGGAAATAGAAACTAAAAAGGGTAGTAATAACGTACGCAAAATGAATTGTTAGTATGGGGCATATCAGAACAAACGGTTACTTCATCAAGACAACTCTCATGCAAAATCCAGCTACGCACTAAATTATCCTACCAACAGTTGAACAACCATTTATCAATCATAAAAACATCTACTCAAATACATATAAGAAGTACTAATAAATATTTGAATGGAAATCTTAGCAACAATACCAAAAAAAAATGGAAGAAGGACAAGCAACATAATGGTGAATGTATTTTAAACAAGGGGTTTGATGCTTAATTTAATTAGCTAATCTTTCTTTAAAATTCTTCATTTAAGATAAACAGAAAATTAATCATTCTCGATACCAAAGTTTTGCTCCATTTTAGAAATCAACCAGTTGAAATCCTAAAAGGAGCTCAGAGCTTCAAGTTCATGACGAGTAAGCAATTTCATCTTCTTCTTTTTTAAAAGCTCACATCAATATTTAATTTCTTTTTCCTCTTCAGCTTACAGAGAGAGAAAAAAGTAATTTTTTTAAGTCATCTTAAAAGGATCAGTTCAATCTAGCTTCAAAGATGATAAAGCAAACAACAGTATGAAGAAACTTGGTATGGAATGTCCATGTAATTATAATTTCTTTAGTTGCCACATAATAATAACCTAATGATTATATCCCTAGGCAGAAAGTTTATATAAAATTATACTAAAAATAAATCTAAATAACTTTACATTAAGGATTAGTTAGGCAGCCTTAAGAAAGAAGCAAAAATTTAATAGATAACTATTTTTATTCATACTCAGTCAGTTTAGCGCGATGATCTTCTTACAATAAAGGCGTTACATTTTATGAGACTCTTTGCATCCTCTCTTTCTACAAGCTACTTTTAAGCTAAAGCTACAAGTTGTTTGATAATTATATAAATTCTTTAGCTTAAAAACTGTTCATTTAAAAAAAAAAAACACACACATTTCAAAAAAAACTGATACAGCTTAAAAAAATCTTTTGGCTTTTGGCTTTTTTTTAATTATTAAAAAAACTCTTTTTATTATAAGAGCTTTTGTAAAAACCTGTTTGGCCTAGCTTCTGCTTATAAGAAGAAGAAAAGCTAAAAAAAAGAGGATCCAAAAGAGGATCCAAATAGGCACTATGACTACTAAAATTTTATAGGTAACCTCTTAACTAGAAATAGTTTTACGGATTATCGAAAATGGATACCTTGTTTAAAAAAAATGGTCGAATAAAATAACAGTAATATGTAGATACTAGGATGTTACTTGATGGTATCACTTTGATAGACAATTGGTCAAATCACCAAAAGAAAAGCATATAACCTGGCTGCAGCTGTACAAAAATCTTCCACCAAATGCCCAGGCCAAACCTGTAACCTGAAGGAAAGAGAAAAATGTAGAAATCAACGGAGGAATGCAACCTCAAGACTTCACTTACTCCAAAAAAAAAGAGAAAAAAAACTTACAGCATAATCATGTGCATCGAATGAGCCAAACTTATCAAATTCCCTGGAAGATATGTCACATAGCCATATTTCAAAGGAACCAGAACCTTTGCCTATGGCTAAAAGCATCTTGGATGAGTACTGAACATGCACAGTTATTGACAGCACAGTAACTGGTACAACGTTCGCAGTTATAACCTGTTTAGAAATTTGCACAAAGGAATTATTCAAGAAGAGATAGAAATGACGAGATGCAGAAAATGAGTAGGGAGTACCTCCTTCAACAACGAGAAAGAAGTTTGCTCCACTTCTGATGATTTTAGCAATTTGTCATTGTCACCCAACCAAACCTTGACACTGCAAAATACATTTCAACTTAGCTCATATATTAGGTGCAAAATGTAATATCATACAAAAAGCTAATCTAATTAGGAAAGTGAGGGAAGTGAAGATCAAACCATTGACCATTTTGTCAACAAGGCTTAGGTGCCATGTCAAGAATCAATCATTCCTAAAAGCTTTAGTTATTAAATGCACAACCAAAAGTGGTTTTTCTTATTACATACACCTTGGGTATTTAGCAATTATGCTGTTCAGGCTTTCTTGGGTTTAATAAATGTCTAAGTATTGTTCATTCATTTTAGTTTTGGGTAAATAGGAAGTCTAAATCCACATGCACGCCTACGCACACACGTACGCGCACGCGTGCACAATATATATAGAGAGAGAGGCACCCACATATGATGGCAAGATTACTCAATTCTGGATTGTAAATGTATAATTCAACTAAATCATCAACATGATGCACCCTTTATATGAAGCCTATAGTAATTCTCTTCTTTTTGTATGACTTCTAAATTCTAAGCCTTGTCCAGCTTAATACAACTTTAAAACTTGTCAATATCTGTCATGTAACTCCAGAAGTTTGTATCAAGATAAATTAATGAAATCAGAATACAAATATAACACATTTGCGTAAGCATGCTTAACTCACCTCCCATCAGAGCTTCCAGTAGCTAATAAAATTTGAGGATTTGAAGAATCAAAAGCAAACAAGAACCAACTTATTGTTGTGACCCATGAATTGTGAGCCTGAAGAAGGTCAATGAAATTCACTGCAGTTGGGACTTTTCTGTCCACAATAGTATAGCAATCTGCTGGGTGAAATCTCCATAAAGAAATTTTACCAGACTTCCCTCCAACAGCAAGCAGACTGACAGAAGCACAAGTATTAGGAACTGGATAAAATTCAGATGCTAAATGCAGCAAGGGAGACCAGGAAACAACAAGCGAACATAGCATTGCACTACGAGAAGCATATTGATCAGCACTTATAGTAGAATCCGTTTGATTCTCAGGCATTTTTTTCAACAATTTCCCATTAGGTTTAGACATAGAATCCGTTTGATCTGATGCATTTCTCGGCAGGCACGGTCTAATATTACCCACCTAAAAATCAAATAAACACAAATAGTAGTGATGTTTTGGATGAAAACAACTGTTTCAGGTAGAACTTAACCATGATTTGCAAGAGAACAATGCTGTAATGATGAAAGTACAACTAACTATATGTAACTTATAGTTTAGACCAACAAGTGAAGCATTTTTTTATGATACAGATAAGAAAGTACAAAGGAATTTTACTGACTTTATTTTAAAAATAAAAAATAAAAACTTGTACTGTATTAAATCTCTATCCTTTCCTTTCATATCTATACGGGGCTAGAACAAGCATTTTAATGTTCACTACTCGATGGCAATAAAAGTCTGTACTTAGAATCTCTGGACACTTGCACAAACATCAAAACAGAGGCAAAAGATAATTGTATACAAGGGAGAAAAAAAAAATTATAATATGCATGTACTTGTATACAAGTACATTAGACTATGTACAAATATAATATAAGTAACATAAAACTAGTTCACACACACTGTACATATGTCCCTTCCTTAAAGGAACCTTTTGCATGTTATCAGCTGATCTTAGCTTCTCTATTGGCATCTAACAGATGATTTCAGAAATTCATAAATAAGGAAGAAAGAGAATATGGATCATATGCATGATCTGTGCTGACAACCGACTAATTAACCCCAAACAACCAAGAAAGCGGATGAATAAGAAAACTTACTTCGGAAAAATCTAATGAAGGAATCCCTGTACCTCGAAACTCAGTACATTGAAAATATTCATGCAGCCTTTCTGTTATGTCCACAACCTAAACAGAATAAGAATAACATATTATACTTACAACAATGTATGTGTACAATATTAAAAAATTTCATTTCTTTATATTGCAACAATTTCATAAATGGGAAACACAAAAGAATCTGTAATAACATTCTTTTTGACATGTGTTTTCTACACTACCTTTTAAATTTTATCGATAGTTGATACAAATTACACCTGTTTTGAATCACAAATTTGTTTTGAAAAAGAAAAGATATGACCGATTGCAATGTTTTACAGTTTCAATATCATGTTTGTCTTTAAGCAAAAACAGATGGCATCAATTCCAAATCTGCAGGATTATCCACTTCTACTGTACATACCTCAATCCATTCAGCACAGAAATCACAAAATGGTGGACGATAAATCTTCACATGTCCTTCCGTGGTGCAAACAGCTATCAAGCACCTGCAGCAAATTAAATCATAAATATTATTTAAATCCGTTAAAACATTGTTTTTTCATGAATAAACAAACTATGACTCTGCTACCCAGCAATGGTCGGTCGAAACAAAAGTAGACCATAACCCCAGGCTAACCTTACCTACAATATCAGAGGTTCAAATCCTATAGTCACCACCTTAACCACCAAAACCTATGACTCTGCTTCCTTCCAGGATTAGTTTGAGTCTCAACGTAAAAAACCATTCTCCATTAAACCCCGACTTAGAAGAATAGATGTTAGGAAAATTCTTGTATACATATTTTTTTTGCAAAGTATTATTTCATGGATTTTAGCCCCTGACCCCTCGGTCACAAAGAAGCAACTTATTGCTCAAGGCTCACCCTCTTAATCTCAACTCAAGGCATAAAAGGGGAGGGGGCAGGGGGACCATCTGAGATAATTCAGGAAAAATAATATTCATACCCTGAGTTTGCAGCCATGCCAAGCGGAGACCATGATATTGATCGAACAACGGGCTTATCATCCCGGTACAATGATATAGGCAGGAGGCATCCAGAGAGTAAATCTGCACATAAATCAATTTGAACATGTAAAATCATGTTAATACTTTGTGGTTGACACTGTGGCAAGTCAATTTCTTAAACTCTCATTTAACATAAACGAATCTCTAATTATAAACATAAGACTTGTAAATATTTCCTAACAAACACATGCCGCACACCCTCCTTTAATATGTTAGAATTAATTTTAAATTAATAATGGTTATGAATAACACGCACAAATCAAACACAACAAAAATAAAAGTTCCTGGCGTTAATGCAACTGAAGTAAAAGAAATAAAAAAACTAACGATTAATTAACCATTGATTTTGAATTCATAGAGTTTGCAATACCTTTTCTTTCTATGAAACCAACTGGAAGAGGCTCACTTGGGGAGACTTTAATAACACCACGTGGTCCATTAGGCGAGTCCGGTTTCTGAAATAATAAAAAAAAAATTAAAAATATAAAAAAGCATTCAATTAAACAAAGATGTGAACAGCTTATATAATTTGTATGGAACTAAATAAGATAAAGAAGATTCAGTACAAGAATGGTAACGAGGTGACCGGAAGCAATAGCGATGAGGTTTTCTTCAGACCAAGCAATAGCGTTGGGGAAAGAAGGTGAACCCAGTAGCATAGTAGGTTGTAACGGAGAGGGATACCTCATGCTGTATGTATAGCGCGTATCTTAAAACGAAAATTTCAAAAAGAGGACAAGGCAAGGGTTCGAATCCCTCTTAGCTGCAAATAAATACTAATCAAATCAATAATTATCTGAAGTGTATCTTCGTATGAATCCCGTGTGTGCAGGTGTATACTATGATAATATCAATCTTTGGCGCACAAAAATACAGAATTTATATAATTCTTACAAAAATATCATATAATATTAATTTTTATAAAAATTTGTGTTAAAAAAAGTCTAATTAAGTTATAAATCATTTATTTACCGAAAAAAAAATTATAAATTATTTTGATATATTAAAGAATTTTGCTGTATAAAGTTTATACTATACAATGATTTCACCAAATAAATAAAAATGTCATAACGTATAATATCTTACACTATCAGATCTTATACATCACACCAAATAGATTCTAGTCAAAATAGGGATAAAAAACACTTTTTTGATAAGCCCATCTAAACGGGCCCACCTACACAGGCCAGATAATACATTTATTATTTTGATTTATTTTATTTTTTTGTAAATTTATTATTTTGATTTTAGTTGATTAGTTTTAAGTATTAGTGTTTCTCATGTTATCCGAGATAAATAATAATTTGTCTCCTACACTCGTATAAAAATGTGTGGGAATACTAGGAAAACTTTGGTGAATTGGTGCTTCCTTTTACTAAAAAAGGAGAGGGAAATTGGACTTAAAGGGAGAAAAAAATGGGTAAAAAAAGAAAATAAAAATTGCTTTTTAGCAAAAGGAGGCACCGAGTTTAATACTCTCCTTGCACCAAAGTTTTTTTTCGATATATATATATATATATATCAAAAAAACATTTCTACAGCCACTTTAGATAAGGTTATCTAAAGCTACTCCAAAAATTACGTCGTTTTGATTAATGAAGAGTGTTTCTGTAATTTTAGGTGAATTAATGAAGGGTGCTTTAGTAATATATATATATATATATATATATATATATATATATATATATATATATTGAATATTTATCTTATATATATATAGAGAAAAAAATGTGTGTCATTTTGAAGGATGTAAAGTTATGTCATTTTAAGTGAGAAAAAGAGATAGATTATGCAGGAGAGAGAATGGACAAAAAAAATAAAAGTGTGGGTCTCACTTCTTTGTGAGAGTGAAATGACACAAATTGTGTTATTTAAAAGGACAAACACTTTTCTCATATATATTGAATATTTATCTTATACGAACAAGAGGAGCGCAACTCGGGTACGACAGTCACACTGTTCACTGGTGCAACTATAATAGTATAACTATGTACTATGAGAAGTATATAGTTATAATATTATTATTTTTTTTATCTTTCTCTCCAATACACATATAAGCTATTGTGATATTATTATTGGTTAGATGTACCTACTACTACTAGGGTAGTATTATAGATTTTTTCGCACAGGAGATATAAATTATTACATTGTCAGCATTGATATTTGAAAATTTAAATTTGGTGAAATCCTGTCTTTCCTGCTCGTTAAATTTTTTGTGCCATATATTTCATTGATGTTTGTTGTGGAAGATCTCCTGGCCAAAATAACAAGACTTTCACATTGGATGTAAACATCTTGTTTGTCTTGTTGGTCCCAGATGAACTCAAGAGGGAGTGAATTGAGTTTATAAAATAATTCGCTAATTAAAAATTAACTCAAAGCAATAAATCAAGATAAAGGTAGAGAGATATTAACACAATAATTTTTACGTGAAAAACCCAAAAGGGAATAAAAATCACGGGCCCTAAAATCGAATACTGAAATTCGACGGGCAACTCCACTATGAAACTTATGTAAAAAGTTCTCTAGTATCCTAATTTCCTAGTCTACCCCTTACACAAATTCCCAAACTGGTATCCTAGTTTCCCAGTATGAAACCCTAATCCTTTAGGATTCTGAAACCCTATCACACAAGGGTTCTCAACTTACTCTCAATTTTCAAGAAAAAGAGATATGCTGGTATCCCAGTTTCCCAGCACAAGAACTGGTATCCAAGTTTCCCAGTATAGACCTTCAAAAAGGTCAAGAAGAAATTTACAAATTAAATGACTTACCTCAGTGCTTCTTTTCCTCAAGCATATAGGTAATATGAATTCCTATGGAGAAATATTCACTTTGCCAAAGGATGAATGTATGAATGAATGTTCTTGAGAAAACTCTTCAATTGATGCACAAGAAAGAATCCTAATCTTGAAAAACTAACTCTCTCTTTTCTTTCTTGTATATTCTTCTCTCTTTTCTCTCTTGTACTTTTTCCTCTCTTCTCTCTCTTGTTTTTTCTCCACACTGAAATAATATGCAATGAGTCCTATTTATAATAATAACATCTTAATCTATTATCCAATGCAATCCTAATCAAATCTTTCACAAAGAATATTTTATTTCTCTTACATGAAATCTAAAAAGATAAAATCTTTCCTAATCTATACTTGATTCCATGCTTTTATATATCTTCCTGATATCTTTCATATCTTCTCCAATCTGCATGCAATCTTTAATTATCTTGAATATTGATCCCATGTTTTTTTCTCTCTTCATGATGTCTTCCATATCTTTTTCAATCTTCATACAATCTTCAATTATCTTGAATACTATTTCAAATCAGAATAAATATTATTCTGAAATCTCAAACAATCAGCTCATTAGTAATTTCAAGACAATAAAATATTATTAATTAAATTAACATTAAATTGATTGTAATCATCAAAACATATTTTAAATCAATTAAACAATTGGAGTATAACAAATATCCAACATGTCTGTCCTGGATTGGTAAAATAACTCATATGTAGAGTATGTAGCCTGTTGTTGTAGCATTTTAACTTGTGGTTTAGCGTCTCTAGTGAGCTTTTTTATCGGATTTGTATCTTGCACCTGTCTTATATTTTCCTTCCATACTCATCTAGTACCTTATTCATGTCAAGCAGGAGCAAGATTCGATGATATTGGATGGAGACTTCAATTCTGATCGTCACTCTGGTGGGGCATTTATGTGACGGCAAGTTTGGTAGTATATATCAACATCATGTCATCCTTGAATTAAAGTGCTTTACATTTTCTTTTAGCATGTGACTCAACTTCGAAACTGATATTTCTACATCCAAGTCTCTGGACTCAGAATTAAAGCCACAAAGCTCCATCTTCTTTGAGAAGTGGGTAAGGGTGTTATTGAACTGGGAAGCCAAAACCTTGTCGATGACTTAAACTAGGTTGCCTCCCATGACACTACAGGAACCGCAGTTGAGTTTTGAAGCAGCCCCATCATTGCTCTCTCCATCTCTTTACCTTTTGGATCTTGGTCCTTCTCATGCACCGTTGGTTAACACCCTTATCACCGAATAGCCTCTTCCTTGCATGGCATATGCAACAGCAACAGCAACAGCTACTGATGCTGAATATGACCGCAGCACTCTGGAAGGCCAGCCTCAACACTCTCAATTTGGTCTTCCATGCCACTAGAAAACTTTTGAGCATTCTTGCTACTTCTGAGCGAGTTCATCCCGAGCCGAAGGATGCCAAATCAGCTTGGATTGGATTTCTAAACATTTTTTAATCTGCTAACCATAAATAGATGAGATCTTTGAGGGAACTTTCAATTGTTCAAATTACTGTAGCAAAACGTTGTCAAAGTCGTTGATTTCTAAAATTCATCTCCAGAAGAACCCGCACACGCAACCTCGATTTTCTTTCAATTAACATACAATCCGACTTCTAACCACGATAAAGTCGTCCAAAGTGTGCAATCCTTTTGTTTCGCTTCCCTCTTAATAATAATCTTCTTGCAAACTGAAACACCTTGATCAGAGAAAAATGACATTGGATAATTAATTTTTCATATTAAAACTTAAAGTGTACAATTGATCAGTGTAACATCCCGGGCGCTGACGAGGGCGGGGAGTGATCGCCGGTGCGAAAGGGCATGGACAAGGAGCGGCTCCTGGCAGGCTTCTAGGGACGGGGGTGCATGAATGAATCGAATCAACACCCGAAAGAGAGGGATTCCAGAGACTGTGCTGGTATGAGACGGTACAGTTGGGAATGGCTTATAAGAATTAATTGGTACTACCTATACTAACAAGATGCATCTACTTTTCGGTAGCCCAGATCGGAAGAACTCCACAGTTAAGCGTGCTTGACTTGGAGCAATTCTGGGATGGGTGACCTCCTGGGAAGTTTTCCCGGAAAGTGTGCGAGTGAGGACAAAGCACGCTGAAAAGTCTCGTGTTAGTGTGTGGGGATAGTCATTGATTCTTGCGAGTTGTCGGGCGTTACAAGTAATGTCCCACATCGGTTGGAGAGGGGAACGAAGCATGCCTTATAAGGGTGTGGATACCTCTTCTAGTGTGAGGCCTTTTGTGAGGTGTCCCAAGAAACAAAATCGTGAGCCCGAGGGCAAAGCGGACAATATCATGCTACAGGGTTTGGGGCTGTTACATTTGGTATCAGAGCCTGGCCCTGGACCGGTGTGTACAGCGAGGACGCTGTATTCCCAGTGGGGGAGGATGTAATGTCCCACATCGGTTGGAGAGGGGAACGAAGTATGCCTTATAAGGGTGTGGATACCTCTTCTAGTGTGAGGTCTTTTGTGGGGTGTCCCAAGAAACAAAACCGTGAGCCCGAGAACAAAGCGAACAATATCATGCTACAGGGTTTGGGGCTGCTACAATCAGTCTTCAATACAATTACTTACAAAATAAAGAACTCATACTAGCAACTGAAGAAAAAGAACAATTTCCATCAACTTTGGTTGCAAGGGATTTAAGAATCACCGCATATGCTATAGTGCCTTTTTGTTCGTACTAATGAGTTAAAAAAATGTTGATTGAGACTACTATGATACTCGGTACAACAAATATCTCTCTACTAGATATTGCGATTAATCATCCAATACAATGACCCCAGCATCAGATTTCTGTGTGTTTTCATTCAACTCAGCATCATTCTTACTTTCATCCGTTTCTGTATCACTTTCTT